AATGAACAACCTTAGATGAATATAGTAGAAACAATGTACAATCTTAGATGAATATGTTAGAAACAATGTACAATCTTAGATGAATATATTAGAAACAATGTACAATCTTAGATGAATATGTTAGAAACAATGTACAATCTTAGATGAATATAGTAGAAACAATGTACAATCTTAGATGAATATGTTAGAAACAATGTACAATCTTAGATATATATTAGAAACAATGTACAATCTTAGATGAATATATTAGATACAATGTACAATCTTAGATGAATATATTGGAAACAATGTACAATCTTAGATGAATATGTTAGAAACAATGTACTATCATAAATTAATGTTTTAGAAACAGGCTAACGATTATTGCTACTGGTAATGTATTTCTTGATTTCTTTCCTGTATAGCTAGTATCAACTTCTGAGATGGACAGTTGAATAGAGACACCCTTGTACACATTATTAATATTAAACTTGTGTTTACAGGTGGATAGTGCAGTTGTGGTGATAGCCTATGAGAGTGGAGAACCTTGCCACATCCATCATATTACTCCTGACAAGTGTTTGAGATACTGGAAGGACTGGCTTCACCGGCTTAAGCAGTTCTGGGAAATAGTGAATGAGGAAAAAGGGTTAATAAAAAGATGACTAGTGCAATAAAATACAGTATTAGAAAGAAAGTACTTGCTTTAGAAACTGTTTTCTGGCTTATTGACAGAGTTACAGGTACACACACAAACACACAGAAATTGACTGTGGTTGTCTTTCAGTATTAACCTTTCTTGCCACTTATATACATTTTATGAATCACTTGAATAACTAGACGTTTTTCCATGGCTTCAAATTGTTAAAAATGGTTTAATTACTTTTTTCAACTGTATTTCAAGACGACAGAAACAGTGTTTCAGATTCTAATTTAAGATTTTAATTTCGGTGATTAACATTCCCTGAGATATATATAAGCTCTCTAAGTTGACCTTATATAACACCCAGTTGTTAAATAGATAAGCTCTATAAGTTGACCTCATGTAACATCCAGTTGTTATAAAGATAAGCTCTATAAGTTGACCTCATGTAACACCCAGTTGTTAAATAGATAAGCTCTATAAGTTGACCTTATATAACACCCACTTGTTAAATAGATAAGCTCTATAAGTTGACCTCATATAACACCCAGTTGTTAACTAGATAAGCTCTCTATGTTGACCTTATATAATACCCACTTGTTAAATAGATAAGCTCTCTATGTTGACCTTATATAATACCCACTTGTTAAATAGATAAGCTCTATAAGTTGACCTCATGTAACACCCAGTTGTTAAATAGATAAGCTCTATAAGTTGACCTCATGTAACACCCACTTGTTAACTAGATAAGCTCTCTATGTTGACCTTATATAATACCCACTTGTTAACTAGATAAGCTCTCTATGCTGACCTTATATAATACCCACTTGTTAAATAGATAAGCTCTATAAGTTGACCTCATGTAACACCCACTTGTTAAATAGATAAGCTCTATAAGTTGACCTCATGTAACACCCAGTTGTTAAATAGATAAGCTCTATAAGTTGAACTCATGTAACACCCACTTGTTAACTAGATAAGCTCTCTATGTTGACCTTATATAACACCCAGTTGTTAAGATTCAGTTGTTTCCAGTTGTATAACAAAGGTGTTAAGAAGTTTGCTTTTTATTACTGCATTTAGGGGTTTCTTTGTTTTGAGGAATCTGTTTTCTAGCTTTAGCACAAGTTAGCAAGTGAGTTTCTTGAATATCATTCTCTAACCCTTGAAGATTGGTTCTGGAGCTGTAATTATGCTATAAAAAAACAAATAATTAACAGATGCTAGATCTAACTTTTTTAGAAATTATAATTAGTGAATTACATTTAATTATTTACGTACTAGTAAAGTCAAGATCAGATAACTAGATGAACACCAAACTATTATACTAGGAGACAAGAAATGTTTTTCAGATTATTCTTATGGTTCATTGCAATGTAATGTATCCTGTCAAAGCAAAATAAGAATTACTAAGTCAAAGTGACAAATAGTTCTTACAAAAGAAGCTGGAAATGGAAAATTTTATTTAACTTAATTTTTACTCAAATTTATTGAAAACTAGATCGCACTATAGAATATTTAGTTGAACTAGAATCATACTGAACAAAAACATGAACGTGAAAATTAAGGTTAGAAATATTTTCATGGTAATTATACTGCTATCTTATTTGAATCATTTGTTTTGAGTAGGAACAAAGACAAGAACTGACTGAGCTAGTTTGTTAAATTCTTCACTCTTCAGTGGTAACATTTTATTTAAATTTTCAATTTTCACTTCAGTAACAACCATTCTGTGTTTAATGGCATTATTAGAGTTAGGTTACATTCCTCTGTCAGAATTGCTTTTTTTCAGAAATCAAATTGAAATTACACATGGACAAAAAGAGACCATTTGATTTTTAGTCTTTCTTTGCACATTAACCCCTGATAGATGTAAATATTTACACCCAAGGAATCATCATTCATCTCTTAAACATGTAAATTACCAGCCTTCACTACTGTTGGCAGCAGCTAGCATCCTCGAGTCAAACTTCTCGCTAGAAAACAAAACCGTCATATCTGGAACCTATCTTGTCTTTTTTCTTTTACAAGTCTTAAACTTGTGTCTTCACAATCTATTATCTGCAGACTGTAACACAAAGAAAGTTAATAAGATCACTTCTTATTCTTTTCTTAACCTATCTATCCCTATATAATAGCTCTTCTCTCCTGAGAATGATCCTAGTAACCCTCCTCTGAGCCCTTTGCAGTATCTCAGTGTTCTTTCTTTGGTAAGACCAAAACTGTACATGGTATTCATATATTTAGTGAGGAATAATTAAAGATAATTACATCTTTTGACATGTTAATAGATAAACCATAGAATCCTCTTAACCTTGCTACTAGCAAGAGTACTACTTCAGTGGCTTGAGAGGCTTATCCAACACTATGCCAAGATCTTTTTTCTTCAGTCAATGTGTTGAGTGGGTTCCCATCTATATCAAATGTGGGATACAAATTATAATATCCCATGCATTACCTTGCACCTTCTATATATTTGTCAAATATTTGTCCTACTTGGTATTTGGTCCAAGTTATTTTGTAATACCTCAACATCCTCAAATGTGTTTAATGTCATCAGCAAACTTTACTAGCTTACTAATTATCAGTATCATTAATGTCAATAAGAAGAAGGCAAAGCACTGACTCCAATGTCACTCCAAAAGTAACAAGGGTCCAGTTTGACTAGACTACTTTAATAACAATCCAGTCTTCACCCACCCCTATACTGATGTCATTGTTTTACCTTATCTTTTGTGTGTGTGTGTGTGCCAACTTACCAAAACCTTTTTGAAAATCTAAGTATGCAATGTCCACGCCTTTTCCATCATCCAAATAACAAGGAATATTCTCAAAAAGGATTTCCATTAATCCATGTTGGCTTTCATTTACCATAATATATTTCACAAAACCTTGTCGAAACGTTGTACATTTGCTGTTATGTTAAACTTATATTAAAGTTTTTCTTCATTACCCACTCAAGCCGTCTCCAGCCATTAAAAGTCTCTTAATTTTACGGAACGTATCTTCTTCCGTACTGGTCTCCATCTTGTTGGCTTCTGCTTCACATGGGGTTCATCTGCTCCATCAAGAAATGTCCTGTTATCAGCAACAGTCATATCAAAGGTAGTAACTTCATCAAGGGCTTCACTGTTTCCCTTCTCAAAACCGGGTAGAGTTTCTTCTTCGACAGTGGCTTTTTCAGGTGACATATCAGCAGCGTCTTTTGTTCTGTTGTTCACTTCGTTCCAACTGAAATGTCCTGGACTGTGATACAGTTGTAGCTATTTGATTTGATATTGTATATGCCTTCCTCAGGCCACTTGGTGAAATAATCCATCACCACACAAATGTACTTGTTTCTAGCACGAGTTTGGGGCAGAGTACCAGCAATGTCGATGGCTACTCTTTCCATTGGTGTGCCAACTTGATATAACTTCATTGGAGCATGTCCCTTATGCTTGGGTCCCTTTTTAGCACAACATGTACTGCATGTTCTGCACCGTTCTTCCACATCTTTTCTTATACCTATCCAGCAAAATCTCTGTCGTAGGTGACTCAATGTCTTCTTAACTCCGAGATGTCCTCCTGCTAAAGTATCATGGGATTGACAAAGCACAACTTCCCATAACTTTCTTGGTATAACCATTTCCCAGGTCGTCACTTTCCCGTCTGCAGTTTCCCATCTCCGGAGAAGAATATCATCTTCAAGCTTCACCTGGTCCCATTGTGCCCTATAGTTATTTGTCACAGGGCTTAGACTAGACACCTTCTCTCAAGCAGGGCGCAAAACACTTGCTTTTAGGAAATCAATCATTGGCTTCAAATCTTGGTCTTTCTCCTGTTCTGCTTTAATATCTATACCTGGTTACACTTCACCATCATCAACTCCTTCAGTCACTTTGACTTCAGCTTGATGGCACCTAGTTAGTTCAACCTCTCTTTTAACAGTTACTGGAATTTGGTCTTTGTTTTTCCCAAACGTCATTTTATCAAAATTAATTACAAACTTCCTCCACAGTAAGTAGCCCATCCCTAATATGTATGGGCTTTCATTGTCAGCCAAGTATACTTCGTGTCTGTCCTTTATGCCCATGAGCTCAATAGTTTCCCACACCGGTCCCCACAATCTTGTATAATGTACTGTCACACCACAGAGTTTCTGTATGGCTTCTAGTACTCCTTTGTGATCCAGAACCTTGTTACTCACAAGGGTTTGTTGAGATGCAGAATCTATGACAAAGTTGCACTTCTGGCCATCCAGCTTTCCTCTAACGTAGACACTATGTGTGCTTGCCATTTTACACTTAGCTGTTGGGACTTTCACAACGGGGGTTGGTGGGCGTCTCTCAACACCAACCACTACTGGTTCCCCGAGGCTGAATTATTGGTAGTATTCTTCTTACACTGGCTCCTCATATGTCCTTGCTCTCCACAGTTCCAACAACTTTTCTGGGTAGCAGCCTTTCCTGCCGTGGCATCTTCCCTGTGTTGAAGTTGTCTGCATTGAGCTCTCTTGTGCCCAGGTTTGTTACAGTGCCAGCAAAGTCCCTCAAACCTCTTTGAAAGCTGCCCTTTTCTGGCCTTGAATCCTGATGACTGTACCAACCTCGGTACCTCTGTGCTGGACTTAACATAGGATTCGAATACAAGAGCTCTGGCCATTGCATCCTGCATAGTAGAGGGGTGTGCTTGCTTTACTTGTATCTTCAGTTGTAGACTGTCCAAGGCGTCTACAAACTGATCCCTCATCAACAACTTGAGGATATTGGGTGGTGCAGTTGGGTAGGCCTTGTGTGCCATACTTTCCAAATCATGTTCCAGCTCTTGCAGGCTGTCCCCTTTAGCATGGACTCTAGTCCTAAACCTAGCCCTGTAGACTGGACCTATTTTGAGTTCCATACCTGAGTTATGGACCAGCTACCAGTGCTCCACAATTGTGCCTTTTTTCTGCTGACAACTGTCCAAGTATTTCCAGTGGTTGTCCCGTCAGGCTCGTTGCCACGTATACTGATTTCTGCTCCTCTGTCCATCCATTCATTTCTGCCAGGAGCTCAAATTGTGCTCTATATGCT